TATATTTCCCAAAAGTTTTGTCTGTGTTGAAGTTTATCATGTCAGCCTAGTTTTATTTTTATAAATTTCTATTGATAACAATTATTATTTACTGGAATTTAAAAAATATGTATTGATATTGGATAATTGTTTTTGATTTTAATTAGATATATTTGATTATATATATATATATATATATATATATATATATATATATATATATATATATTTTTGAACAATAAAAAAATATTAAAAATTAAAATCTTCAGACACACTGGGTTGTAGTGTGTTGTTCCTATATATATATATATATATATATATATATATATATATATAGGAATAAATTTCAATTACAAGCTACATTTAGTATAATGTTCCAGCAGGGTTTTTTTATTGGATGAATAAAAAATTAATTCTTATATCTATGATAAAAATATAGTTTTATGGTATGCTATATTTATTGGGAAAAGTCCTCAATACCTGAGATAGAGTATGTGCAATCATATGTAAAGTTGATGGTGAGGTCAACACCAAGGGATAACAGTCTGTTTCATGCCTGAAGATTGCGTGAAACACTATCAGCACTCAGTGTTGACCTTAGGGTCCCTTTATGTATATATATGGGATAATGATATAATTTTTTTTATATATCAAAAAGTCAAGAATAATATTTTATGGGAAAGAAATATGACAAAGTGGAATATATATATATATATATATATATATATATATATATATAAAAATAAAGAACAGTAATTATTTAAAATCAAAATTCTTTGTTTTTTTTTTTTACAAAAGAGTCACATATTAATTTACAAGCTTATATGTTTTGCTTTTTAAAATATTTTGAAGATATTTTAAAAGTTTCAAATTAAATGAATTTTATTTTTTTTAAAAAAATTAAAAGCATTATTTCTATTTCATTACAAATAAAAAATTTATTTTAAATAATGATGAAATAGAATTTTTGCTTTTAATTCATTTTGAAAATTTAATTTTTTTCTTCTCTTTTTCTCTCAAAAATAACTTCTATTTTAATTTTGGTTAATATATATAAATATATATATATAATTTTTATTTTCTCAAAATGTTTGTTTGGTTTGGAACTTAGAGTCACTTTTTTTTGGTTTTGGGGTTTTTGAAGATATTTTAAAAGCATTAAATGAATAGAAAAAAAAATATTTTCATTCATTACAAATCAAAATTCATTTGTAATGTACATGAATTTTTTTAAATTCATTTTGAAAATTTATTTTTTACTCTCTCTCTCTTTCTCTCACAAATCCCTTCTACCTTAATTTTGGTTAACTGATAAAGGAAGCACTTTATTTTCTCTCTCTCTCACTTTTTTGTGGGGTAACTCTGTTTTTTTTTTTAATTCAATAAAAGATCTGAAAACAGCCAGGATTAAAAAAAGATATATACTTTTATTCTTTATAGCCAACTAAATGTTGGTTTATATTTTAAATGCAGAGTAGGTGGGGTGAAATAATTTGAGCTGACAGAGCATTCAACACTGACATTTCAAGTGTGCACCCTTGAAATGTGTTGCTTTGAGTTCCGTCAGAAGAATAAAGAATTCTTTCTTTTGCTTTTATTTAGAAGAAATTGGGATCAGAATGAGTGGGAAGATAATTAGTAGCAAAAGACTTACTAAACAAGATATTTTACTTATCCAAGGCTGTTTTCATTTTGCCTACTGTAATTAATATTTATGTGTACAGCTGTAGATTTATAGATGTATGTATATATATATAAATATTTGCATTAGTAAAAGCTGGGGTATTTTTCTTATGTAGGGGTTGTATTTTGTATTCAGAATTGGAAGAAATATTGAATTCTGGTGCCAATGATTTTCAAGTATTAGACTGAATATAATCTAGTCTATTGAGTTTATTTAGCTTTATTGTTTAAATATTAAAGGAAAGGAATTATTTTTTCCTTTCAAATTTAAAAAAAATAATCTGATGTAGAAATGAAAGTTTTTTTCAAATTTGAAAAAAAAAAGAAATGAAAGATGAAAAAATATGTGAAAAATGTTTTAAATGATGTAAAAAGATTTTTTCTAGACTTGAGAAAAAATGTTCTAAAGCAATAATTTACTTAAAATACTTGCAAAATAAACAAAAATCTGTAAATAAATTTTCTTTTTAGTTTTATGAGTTAACTAATTTTCAAAAAAATTCTATGTTCTAAAATAGAATTCTTTGAAATTTTATTTTAATTTCTTGTAGACTCAAAAAAAATTTATTATTTGGAAAAAATCTTAATTAAAAAAAATCTAAAAATAGAGAAACAAAAAATGTTTGATATTTTAAGAGTGAGAAAAATTCTTGAAAAATATATGACCATATTAAAAATTAAATGCAAAAAATTATTGTAAAAAATTGTTTTTTTTTTCTTTTGTAAATTCTAAAACACACAAAAAATAAGAGCTGTAAGCAGTCAAAAATGGTGACAGCTACTACAAAACTAACGACACAGTTATAGTGAAAAAATTAAGGACAATCACTAATAAATGTGAAGTGTAAAAGTCTTCTACGACTAAAATGAAAATAAATAAAGTATCCAAAATTCAGCAATTTAACTGCTAACGGGATTTCATATGTCAGAAATAAAAAAAATAAAAAAAATCAGTGTTCTAATGTTGTCATATTGTGAAAATGTCAGGATTTTTCTGATATGTAGGTAAAAAACAAAATAACCAGTTAGCAGTACAGAGCAAAATTCAAAATTGCAGCAAAAATTAAATTCAAGACTTTAGGTTGCTAACAAAATAAGGCCTGTTGTAATAAAAACTCCTGAATGAAATTTAATTTTGTGTTTTAAACTTAAATTTTGCTGGTCAGTTGAATTTTGATTTTTACCTCCATTCTTTTTACCTTTGCTGATTGAAGTCTTTTTTGTTTTAATCTCTGGTACTAAGAGTTAGTATTATTTTTATTATTTACATTCAGACTGTTATCCTCATCTTTCTTGTTATTATAACATTTCAGCCATTGTTCTTTCTGGCCTTCTACAAGGTGCCTGTCAATCCAGTTAACTTTTAAGGAATGTCAAACTGAACCCTTTATTTAATCTACATTTTCTTTCCACTGTTCACGTCTAGGAATATCTCTGCTTGTTCTTTACTTTTTAGTATTTTTCAGTTATTGCTTGTCCTATTTTCATGGAGTCTAAATCTATTCTACCCAGCCCAGAAATTCACAATTACTATGTTACCAAATTCACAGACCAATGCTTCAATTCATTAGACTGATGGTTACTCAAACTGACAAACACCTGAAGAAGGCTGGAGGGAGCAATGGTTGAAACATTGTGTTAATAAAAAGAAAATGAAGATAATTATCCACATATAAATAATGTAAATGAGGAGAAATCATTTAAAAAAAAAAGGGGAAGTTTTTGTTATAAAGTAACCTTTTCATGAAAAAAAAAGAAAAAAATTGGAATATTAACTAACTGCAAATGATGTGAATATGTTCCTTCTCGCAGACATAATAATGTTATTATTATGATAGTGTCTTTCTATGTTATTATTATGATAGTGTCTTTCTATGTTAATGTTGGTTTTCAAACAAAAAAAACTTTTATTGTGTAACATGCACAGTTAGTTGGTTTATCTGTGACTAAATAAAAAAATTTACAGAATGTGAAACATCTAGAGACGCTATTGTGAACAACTTTCTAAGCACTAATTTGATTGCTTTTAATACAAAGCAAGCAAGGCAAAAGTTTGCTGCATATATAATTATATATATAGATAGATAGATAGATAGATAGATATGTATATTAAAAAAATGGCGATAACTTAAATATTGCTTTGAAAAAGCAGAAATGGATACTTGAAAAAAGAAAAAATGAAATGATGAAGGGGCAGAAAAAAAATAAATGTGTTTATAAATAAAAAATAAAGATGTTTGAAGCAGACAGAGAATAAGAGAAAAGACAAATTGGTGCTTTTTTTTTACCTGGCTTCATATTGCAAACATCCCCAAGATTTAATGATTCAACAACATTGATAATTTTCAGGTCATAAAAAGCAATAATAAACAGTTTTCAAAAAAGTAACAAATGACTAAATATCACTATTGGGTTTCCTTTTTGTGCTTATCTTCAGTGCAACATGGATAAGAAGGCTAACTTCTTTTTCATATAATAGTTCTAATTTGGTTGATGGCAACTATAAAAATTGTACTTATTGTGAAAATTGAACTAGATATTATTTAATATTCATTTTTATAACAACAAAAATTATTAATGCTGTCAAGATTTTTAAAAGAAGGTGTATTTGCAGTATGAGTCATGGTTAACTTAAAATAACTGAAAGTAAGTTGAAGGCAGACTCCAGAAAGAAAGAGATAGATTGAAATCAGGGCAACCAAAATTAGAAATAAACAAAAAAAACTATTTGGAAAAAAAAAAATGAAAAGTAAAACAAAAAAAATATTAAAAAAAGAAAGAGATAAAAATCAAAATAATGTTTTTTTTTAAAAAAAAAATATTAATCCAAAACAAAAAAGGTAACAAAAAAATGTTAAAAAGACAAAAGATATCTTTCAAGAAACCAAGATACTAAAAAAAAAGAAAATATAAGATAAAAGAAAAAAAAAGGAAGACAAAGAAGGAATCAACAAAAGAAAAGTAGAATGAAGGAAATAAAAAAAAGAAAAAGAAGGAAAGTAGGGGCAAAGTTAGAAAAATAAAATTGGAGTTTTCATACAGAAGTATATATAAAAGTTCTTTTCTGTTAATTAAGTGTAGACTTGTCTACATTTAAACTAATAAGAACGTTTATATAATTTCATTCTGTATAATAAGAATAAAATTAGAAACAGAAAGGTAAGTATCCGCTTTAAAGAAGTGTAATAAAGTAGCAACCATGCAGACAGATTTGTTGGCACACGTATTAGCAATGAAATTCTAGATATAGGAAAAAAAAAAACTATTTATAGGCAAATAAAAGATTCCTATGAGAAAGATTGTTAGTTAAAAATATTAATTAATGGCAAGCAGCTTACGATTCATCCCAGTCTTTAACAATCCATCGTTGTCTTTGAATACTGAAATATCAAGAAAAAAGATAAGAATTCTCATTCGATCTTGGGTGGTGGTGTTGGTCGTCGTACAAGGGATGGGTGTTGGGGATTTTGTTTAAATAAGGCATTTTTTAGTCAGATATATAAGAAAGTGAAGACTTATTAATAGAGAAATTTTATTTTTGGAATTAAAAATTTAAATATAAACCTATCTTCAGCAGGTCAAAGCCATTGGGATAGTTACATTAAACAAACTCTTCTCAGGAAGTTTTTTTTAGTTAAGTGTGTTTAAATGCATAACCTCAAAATAAATTTAAGATTTTATTGTTTTTCTTTAAAACTAAAAATTAAAGTTCTTTAAAATTTCACTAAAGGTTCCTTTTAATTATGATTTCATTTTTCATATTTGTCATCAGAGTTAGTGAATGGATACAGATTTCATTCAGGAAAAGGTAACTCTTACTAAAAAATGACAGAAGATAAGACAACTCTCTGGTGTTTAGTCATCAAATTCTCCATGTCTCTTATGAAAAAAAATGTAAAGGGGATGGATTTATGTTATTTTCAGTCTTTACAGAAAACTCTTAAAGCTAAACAAGAAAAGATATTTGCTGCTCTTTCTGTTATTAATATTTCCTTCTAGAAAGACTTATACTGATGTTACTAAAATATTACATACTTCAGAGACATGTGTCTTAATATTCATAATAAGAAATACAGGCATATATATATTTGTATGTTTTTAAATAAAATATGCATTTTCAGTTAGTAAAAAAAGAAAATGAACAATAATAATTGTCTTCTGTTTTTATGAATTGCAAGGGATATGGTGGGAAAAAATAACCAAATAAGTATATTGGTAATTCCAGAGGCAGAACTGATGTCTTCAAAGCAGTCTTTCTTGGAGTCAAATTAATAATTCTTTGTTCAGTACTGCTTTTTAAAAAAAAAAGTTATTCATGGAGAGGGGTAATGGACTGAGTGGGATAAGGCTTCATTTGAGGAATGGAAGGGATATTTGTCATTTAGAATTAAATAGGAATGGATAAAAATAAAAATAGCTCCTGTGTCCACTGGAGAATTTCTTTAAAAAAAACATTTTCAGTTTGTGGGTGGGTGTGTATATATTATATATATTAAACATTCTCTTTTTATACATTATAGTGAGATAATATATTTATAGAAAAAAAAAACAAAATTCAAGTACTAAACATCCTTAGTTACTGCATTTTGCTGCTTATAAGATACATTTTTATTTCCTATAAAATATCTTGAAAAACTACCCTGTGTCCTATAAACTGAAGAACAGTGTCAAGAGTTAATTTCTTTTATAATTATTACATTCTAAATAGTTACCATAAGTTGGGTATTTCTTTTCAGACTTTGATGAATTTCTCATGATTAGTCCTATTTTCATGATGAAATAAGCTATTTAGTGCATAAAATTGGGGTTAGTGCAGTGGGCTATGATGTACAAGAAAAAAAAACACTTTTCTGATTTCTTCCTTCAAAATTTTGTGGGGGTGTCTAATGGTGTCTTATAGGCAGCAAAATACAGTACTAAGAAATAAGAAAGAATTCTTGGATAATATTAGTTTTGTTTGCTTTAGTTTTCACTCAAATAACTTCAGAATTTCTTTCCACCCACCTTACCAATATATACTAACTTACTAACACTGTAAATATGAGATACTTGTGAAAACTGAACTCATTACATAACACTAATAGTCTGTTAGATAAGTTTGTTTACCATTACACTATGGTGCTTTTATCTCATTCTGCTTATTTATAGTTAATTTTGTATATATTGCAATGTTTTTGCATTTTTTATACAAGTAGTTTTATTGCTGATTTATGACTAAACTAGTTTTTGTGAGTGTCTAACAATATCCTTATATTAATTCAAATATATATATATATATATCCTTATATTAATTCAAAGTGACAATGAAGGGATTTTTTAAAAATATCTTTTTGTTCATTATTTTAAATGCATTTATCGCTTTCATCTTTGAAATATGACTTTATCCAATTAGAGTCTAGGTCTTCCTAAATAAATGTTTTTTTTGCCATTTCATTCAAGAGAAAAATAAAAGTTTGAAGTTACTGAATATGACTTGATAATTTCTGTTTTAATTTTGCTACTTGATACAATCAAGTCAGTAGTTGAATCTCGTTAAAATAGGTGTGGCAGAAATTTCACCCCTGCTACAAGAGAATCTCACCAAATTATTTACTAAATTCAGTATAACATTCACAGCAGAAGCCCTGACCAAATGAAGTGCTATGCAATACATTTCTTTAATAAATCGTTTCCTATACATTTCTATAATAAAATGTTTCTACAATAACTTATTTCCTATGCCCTTTTATGGGCATCTTCTCAGATTATCATCATGAAAACCCAAATCATAGCTAAATGTTTACCAAATTCAAATTGTGAGATTTATTCTTTGGCTTCAGGCCAAGTTTTCATGAACTTCTTCAGTTGATTGAAATTCAGGCTTTATTTCAAATCAACCAATCTGACGAAATGGGATTTTGATAATCTTTATCAGCACTGGGTCAATTCCATATCACCTGAAGTTGATTGTTAAATGTATAAAGTGAAACATTTCAGAAACAAATTTTTTGGCATGTAAGACAAGCACCTTTTGAAACAAATACATCATAAATACTTTTTTTTGCACAAAAAGTATTCAGAGCTTATAAAGGGTGTTCCACTAACTTGAACCAATTTTAAATGTGAATTAAGTTTAAGCGTCTAATGATTTTTTTCCTTTTCTTTCAGATTTGGCAGATATTTGGGCAATATTATTTTTCACACATAATTTCCATGACTTAAATAACGTGATCCAATAGAGAAATAAATCAATTTTCATCAATAACACTGATTCATTTACTGCTGACTTTGATCCGTCTTAATTTAACACCCTTATATATAATCCGTCTTAATGAAACAACCTTTACAACGAATGTTCCCATCTTTCAGAAGTTGAATTTCTTTTTGACAAATAACTCTAAAAATACAAAAATTTTGAGAAGATGTGTCTTATGCTCTCCCAAAAAAAAAAAAAAAAATAAGTGGTAAGCAAAACATTCAGCTATAATTTGATGTTTCTTGTATTTCAAAAAAAGAGTAATTGTTGAAAGATTCTCCACCTAAACGATTTCCCAAAATCTGACCAAATGATCAAAGTATAGATTTTGTTTTTTTGTTTTGAGAAGGTCTTTTTGGTTGGATTAAGAACATTTCAGCTCTGCCTAATGTCTGCAGAACAAGAAGAAAATGATGAACATTCACAGCAGAAGCACTGACCAAATGAAGAGCTATACAATACATTTCTTTAATAAATTGTTTCTTATACATTTCTATAATAAAATGTTTCTACAATAACTTATTTCCTATATACTTTTATAGGCATCTTCTCAGATTATCATCATGAAAACCCAAATCATAGCTAAATGTTTACCAAATTCGAATTTTGTTTCAAAAGGTGCTGGTCTTACATGCCAAAAAATGTGTTTCTGAAATGTTTCACTTTATACATTTAACAATCAACTTCAGGTCTTTAATTGTTCTTAGTAGAATTACCAAAATGACTAATCTCTATAATCCTGGTAGCAATTCATTTTAAAATTTACAGTATTCCAGTGTAATGGTTAGTGATTTCTATGGCTGTAAACAACCAAACATAAAACTAAGTGATATCCCTAATCACAAAAGTAGAATTGAGTCTGAACAAACAGAGTTTTCAGGGTTTAAAACAAATATCGTCACATGTAGCTTAAATGCTTTTTATCACAATTTATTAGATAATTCTTGACCATTAAATTTGGTAGTGTAAAATCAGAATAAATAAGTAGCAATAGTCTTCAGCTGTTTCTATTCTGATATGAAGTACTTTCAGTATTGGTTTTGTTTAGTCTTTTCATTACAACTTTTTGGGTTAAATATTTTCGAACTGTTTGACTAAGTTCCATGATGCAGGAGTATCTTTATCATCAATTTTTTACTAGAATTTTTTTCCTTTAATTTTCACTTTTTACCCTACCTTCCAGATTCAAACCATTAAAATATGTAACTGGAATTAAGAAGCATTTCCATGGAAATTTGTACTTGCATTCCATATTCTGGGGGCCTGTCTTACATGAGGGAAGCCTTAACCAATTAAGCATGAGAAGCTAGGGTTTCCTTTTATTTTCACTTTTTATCCTTAACTTCTAGATTCAAACCATTAAAACAAGCAGCTGGAATTAAGAAGCATTTCCAGTGAAAACTGTATTTGCATTCCATATTCTGGGAGCCTATTTTACATGAAGGAATCCTGTCTATAGTCATATTTAAGTATATATTTCTAATAACTGTGATAAAATACAAAAAAATGATAAAATATTAAAAAGTGGATAATAGAAATACTTCCTTTCAGAATGCAAATAATTTAAACTTATTTCTATGGCTCAATTGGTAAAGGAGTTATCCAAGCTTCCAGGATTTGGGATGTGAATTCAGGTGTTGTTTGCAGGTATTTCTTTATTCTTACTTCACATTAATTACTATAATGGCTGGAAGAACTTAGATTTAGAAAGGTGAGATGAAAAGCAACAAGACTATTAAAATAACAAGTCCAAAAATGATTAATAAAAATACTTCATCTCAGAATTTAAATAACATAAGACTACTATTTTATTCCAACTTCACACTGCAGTCAAAGGACATTGAACAAAGAATAGTTGCAATAAAAAGCAGCAATAAAAGAAAAAAATGTTTTAAAATTCACAGTATTCCTAATTTGTTATTAACCTAATAAATTCTAAAAGACAAAAGAATATTTTAAATACACAAAGTAGGAATAAATAAATACTTTCAACCCTTAATTAAAATAACTACATTGTATTTATTTTTATTCAGCTAAAAAAACAATATCTTTCAGGTTTTCTTTGTGGTTTATACATTTCCTACCAGTACCAGTAGTCTGTGTTTAAACACAAAATTTTAAATGTTGATTTGTTTTTAAGACTAAATTCTTCCCCATTACAATGCAAAAATTTAAATGC